CCCAGGGATGAGGTATGCTAACTCTCGCGCTATCTGGTTATTCTTGCCTTTGAAGGATTCTAACTTGAGCTTCGGAGCCCTTACGCCGGGTTCTCCCCGGAGCTTATCTTCTCCTCCCGTTTCAGGTCCCTGTTACTCAGCTCAGAGGCAAGATCATCGACAGCTAAGACCGGCCAGATCGTGCATCATCAGGTACCAATGCTGAAAATAGATATGGAACATTGGAATCAAATAGAAGGTGTTACTGTTGCCCCAGGAAACGTCCTACTTGGCATCAACATTTCCAAGCAAACAAAAGACACCATTTTCTAAAAAAACAGTGGTGTATATGTAGCATTGATGCCAAACATATACCAAGTGTAAGAACAATCACTTGGTATAATATTGATAAAAACTTCGGCTGACAAATAAAAGAATGCGAGTTTGAATTTGAGGGCAGCTGCTTCATGCTTGTGAAAAAATATCAAAAGCTAGGCTCCATTTCGGAGTACAAATACAAATATATAGAGCACAAAACCTTTTATTTTATATTATTTTATGTGTATTTATACAATACATATTTGTATTTATACTCCTTCCAAACTGAGCCTTAGGATCTATGCCTCCCAATGCCCCAAATAATTTGTTTCATAACTAGTCAACCCCAAAATAATTTTTTTTTAACACTTTTGGAGTGTCAATAAATTCTTCAATAGTAAGGGTAGCTTTGATAATAGTTAAAATAAGCAATTTTTAATGACAGTATTTTGTACTTTTGGTAGCTCATGGTTGTGTCCCCTTTAGAACTGGCCAAAGCTATATCCCATAATTTTTACACCCAAAAAAAAAAAAAAACTTTTGTTGCTTTTTCTTTAATCAAAGTCTTTATTGGATCAGATAAGGATGGATTTGTATACAATCCATCAATGCTTTGAATTGGATCGGGTTCAATCCACTCCAATAAATACTTTGGAGCGTTAAATTCGGACCGGTCTAAGTCAATATATCTTATTGGTCCATCCACTCCGTTCAAATTGACTTTGATTTGGATGGTATCCAACCCAAAACCGGTCCATCTGGAATCCGGGGTGGGAGAGTCATTTAAAACACAGTTTTGTCAGATTTGGGCCGTGATTAGGCCCAATGTTAGCCCAAGTAGGCCCAAATCACAACGCCCAAATCCAGTTTGTCTGGGTTAATCCATCATCATCGTTGACGGTTTGACGCTACCTTTCGTCTTCATTGATTCTCTGATTTCCTCCGGTAGCTCGCAGCTCGGAACCCGCCAATGACGAAGTTCCAGTAAAATCTCGTTATTTGTCATTCTCCAGAATGCGCTCGAAGGACCGGATATCTTACTTCTACGATGGTAAACTGCTCTTTCCATTCCAATTCGCATGTTATTAGTAGTAGGTTTCAAGTACTCCAGCTCTCAATCTAAATTCAGTTGTAATTCTCATCTGGTCACTTGGAACAAAAACCCTTGATCTGTTTAATTAGGTTCTGACTCTCAGGCATTCTTCTCTCGCGCCAGGCGCTGTTAGACAAAATAGACCAGAGACAATTGTTCACTTTGTTTGGCCTGGTTGTGCTCAACAGTGTCTCTGTCTTTCCCGGTCGTCCTTACCTTAGTGCTTATTCTACCTCACATTTATGGATTTATAATGATGGTTTCTGCTGCAAATATTTTATTAATAATGGGTTTGTTAACACCAGATGCTTGTTATAGTGCTTCAGAGAGACTATCAAGGGAAGACGTCATATGGAGCCTGCCTATTCTTTCCTATCTTACCCTTCTACTAAACGAAAAAATTGATGCACATTTGTCCATATTCTAGTTGTTGTCAATTTGGAACTCATTGTGAGAATGTTGGCAAGCTTGAAATCTATCATGAGAATGGTTGTTAAAGGAGGTATATCTATAGCCCCAACTCATATTGAGATAGAAGTGATGCCCCTGGCTATTGATATATCACACAAGAGTTGCTAGATCTTTTTCTGCCAGAGTGAATATATTATCCAAACGGGTCTATTGGTTAGCAGATTCTTTGGCATATGGTTTGAATAGGAGAGTTAGCATGTCATTCAAATTATATTGTGGCTCAGCTTCCAAGGGATGGATTTTGTCGTTCTGGTTTTATTATATTGCACCACTTGTTTTTTTTTGAGTTTTGTCTTCCCTTGCTACGTATCCTTTCTGGTAATGTCCTTCCTTGTTCTCATACCAATCACAATGAGACTAAAAAATATTGTATTTCAATAATCTTAAGAATGGTGGGTTGAACAAGGGACTGAAAGTTCATCCTGCCAGTGGCTTAGTTGCATGTTTTTTACTTACTTATAATTTGGTGTGCATAAAGGTTGGGTAAAAAGTTGTATATGTTGTCTATCATCATCATTATCATCTGAGCCTTGTTCTGACTATATGGGATTGACTACATGAATCCTGTTTTGCTAATCTATTCTGTTCAATGTCATATCCATTTTCAAATAATGGACACTTAAACCATTTATTACTACTTCCACCCAAGTCCTGGTCTGCCCCTGTCTCTTCTAGCCCCTTTAACTTGTAACCAATAACTTCTTCTAACGGGTGCTGTAGATGGTCTTCTATGCATGTGACTAAACCACCTCAGTCTACTTTCTCTCATTTTATCACCTATTGGAGCTACTCTGTGGTTCCTTCATGTGACTTCATTTCTGATCCTATCATTCCTAGTTTTTACCACTCATCCATCTAAGCATACACATTTCTATCACTCTTTTTTTGGAAATGCTGTTTCTTAATTGCCTAGCACTCTGCTCCATACAATATAGTTGGTCTTACAACTTTTTTATAGAAATTTCTCATCCAAATTAAATGGAGAGCCCTGTCAACCATTCTGTAGTCTTAGGATTTGGTTGAGAGAAAATTGCTCAGATGCATTTGAAATTCAGAGGGTTGCTCTTTTCTTCAGGTTTGATGATGTGTGCTGTTGGATTATTTAAAGGCTCTATAAATGACAAATTGGCAAACTGAGCCATGTTACATGGCCAGAGTTCCGGTTTACAGATTGGTACCATGGTGTTAACAACTTCACCTACATAGAGACCATATATGGATCTACGGCACCTCAGTCTGAACATTATGGTATCTTTTGCAACATTTTGCATTACTGAACCAGAAAGATCCAACCCAGAGGTGTCTTCTCCATCTGAGGAAGGTTGATTTGGATGCACATTTTTCTAGCCTACCTGTTTCCAAACTTTTCCTTTTTCCAGTTTGAGTTGCCCAGGCTTGGCTTGGTAACTGTTACCTGAAGTTTGGACATTTTTCATGATGAATGACTCTTTTAAGGAAGATGTTGTCATGAGGGTTATTTTTAGTCCCCCTAGGGGAGTTGCATACTGTTTCCTTTTGTTTTCTTTTCGTAATAATTTTTTAATCTCTTAAACTACATAGATAAACAAAAGTTTGTAAACAAAATAAACAGGCAGTTTGATTCCATAAAGCTGTTTTTGGATTGAGGTGGAAATGGAACAGCAAGAAGGGAAAGGATTCCTGAACTGCTATTTTCCGTCTTCTGAGATTTAGATTGAAAAATGAGAAAGTACAACATACAGAATGTAATGGATATAGTGTTACATTTTTCATCAATTCAATGGATGTTAAAATGACAATGGGGGCTTTCATTGTAGAATCCACCAAATCATGGATAATTTCCTGCTTTTGTACTCCTGCCTTCAATCCAAGCATAGCATAGTACAGTGGTAGTTAGTGTGTCTTTTACACTGCTGTTAGCTTTACCATGACATCAGTTGAAGCTGTTGCTACTTCTTACTGGATGCCATTCCTCAACTTTTCCCTACTTGCTTGTCTCTATTTATCCTGTTTTGACCATGGCTGTTAAGCAACTCTGTTACATCTGTAGATGATTGCAAAAATAAGTCAAGAATGTAAAATACTTTTGTTTCTTCTTCTGGGTGAATATGTACCTATGCTAGATAGTTTTTTTGCAATACTCCATCTTAATAAAGGCTTAGAATTCCATTTCTTTCTTCATACATAAATCATGATAGTATATCTTGTGTATCTCTGGCACATATTGTCTCCCTAATGGCTCCATGTTGCATGTTGGTTCTTTTGATCATGTTTTTTTTTTTTTTATAGTTTTTGTGTAATACAATTAATATTTAATATTTATCACTTTGCCTTCTCAAAAAATAAGTTCCACTCTTGGAAACATTTCATAGTCTTTGAAGCATAGCTGTCAAGGCTGGACGGGTGCTTAGCCTGAATGCCATGATGTATATAAGGAAAAGGTGCTTATACAGGCAGCTAGGCACCTGCCTAGGTAACAAAGATCACAATATCGGCCTTGCTTGGCACATGATACGATATGACTGGAGGTGTATATCTTGCTAGTTGTGCGTATCGGGCCGATACGGGCGCGTATCGCCTTGTATCAATGCGTATCGGTCTTATACCATGCGATACGGACCGATACACGTGAGCTTGTTTATTAAAGATAAACACTAGGGCAACTTGAACCTGGGTCTCCTAGCATGCCATGTGCCTTCATCTTAACACAACTCGTAAACCATTAAGCCAATTTAGTTCTTGTATAAATAATTGAAATAAAATAACTTTTATTACATATAGAATTTACATATTATATGTAATCCAAATAAATAATATATTTATGTTCAACAATTTTAACTAGAACAATATTCAAAATTGATATTTTGTAAACCAATGGAATAAATAATCTATCAAATCTACATTAAAATCAAAAGATAATTTTAATCTCAAGAAAATTATGCAAACAAAACATTAATAATAAAATAATTATTTTAATACTTAAATTAATATATATTTGAATTATCATTTAATATTTTAATTTACATTACATTAAATAACAACGTATTAAATATTTAGAAAAATAAAAAATGTTTAGAAAATATTTGAAAGTATAATATTAAATAGAATCTATCAACTCTACTAATCAAAATTTATACCAAAAATGGTTTTTAATTTTAGAAAAAATATAGAAACAAAACTATCAATAATGTAATAATTATGTATGTATTGAAATTTATATTTTTTATAAATTATTAATTGATATTTTAATTTAGATTTGAGAATTTAATATTTGGTTGACTTTTTTGTTAATGTAAAAATTTAATTTTGTGGTATTTATGCATTCTGCTATATTAATTGTAACATATTTTATCATATATGCCATTAAAATGTACATTTCCTATGTATTTATACATTATTTGTGATCATTTGATTTTAAATTTAGTGTTATTAATATATTTGTGGAATTTGTATGTGCTTCCCCATTGTATCTAAGCATTTGCATGTTCTTTCGTCCGCATCTATGCGTTTCCAAAGCGTATCCGTATTCGTATCCAAGTTATTTGATACGATACTCAATACCGATACTTTGATACGGATACGCTTTGGATGCGTTTCCAAAGCGTATCCGTATCCGTATCCGTATCCGTATCAAAGTTATCCAAGGGTTTTGAAAAGAGAAAAGAAAGAATGAAAAAAGGGTATTTTTTTTTTCTTTTTCCTAAAACTACTCTTTCATTCTCTTATATTAAATAAAACAGGGTGCAGACGTGCAGTCCCTTGTTCCTTTTCCCTATTCATTACTTTCTTTCTTAAAATTTTTATTAGTATGATATGACATTAATGGATATAAAATGCAATTTTCTTTTAGACATGATGATTTATCATGCTTTTATTAGAAAGTTAATTTTCTTACTAAAGAAGATTACTATTTTTTTCTCAATTTATATTTATTCTAGGGCTTTTTACAAAAAAAAGTTTCATTTATTGAAAAAATTGGTGATGCTTTGGAAAAAATGTTAAATGTTCAAATCAGTGAGTTTAGAAAATAAAGTTTCTTTTTGGACAAAATTGTCCTTATCTTGTTGAAGATTTCTGGGTTATGCTCCACCATCATTATCAAGAGCTTCCTTTGACAAAACATTGGCAAGCTTCATGTGCATGAACATAAATCCAATGGCCATTGGCAAGTCAACCAATGTCTTTAAAAATGGAATAATATCGTCACTGTTGCTCTTGCCAGTCACGACCAAGAGCAGGCATTGTGGTGTGAAAACTTATATAGCAGAAACCAAGGTTCAATGTATCAATCCAATATGCCTTGTATTGGGCGTATCATATTATACTGTGAGGGTTCTGATACACCTGTTTAAAGGTGTTTTCAGGAAACCCTTTATTTTATTTATTAAATAATATAAAAATATCTATAAAAATGAAATTTTGAAAAAAACTAAAAAAGATGCATGATTTAAAGCAAGGTTCAAAGTATCAGAAACACACTTTTAAGAGACGTATCTGGATATGCTTTGGATATCTATAGATGCAAACAAAAAACCAAGATATGGATGGATACACTATGAAACTCAAATGAATCCTAAAGATATATTAATAACAATAAGCACAAGGTATATATGACAATAAATAAGTTATTTAAACATGAAAACCTTGCTTTAATGGTTTAAATGTAGTGTGAGAGATGAGGACACAATTGCTAACTTCATAAAAATGACAGAAAAACTAAAATATGTGCATAAATACCTTACCTTGATTTTTAGGAAATCAAAATAATTTGTCTTAATATTTGCTAATATTTAATAATCAATTTTAGCATTTATTGACAAATATCTAGGGGTGATCATCTTGGCTTGGCCCAACTTGGAAATTCCAGGTTTGAGATTGGGTTTTCTTTTGAGGTTGGCCCAACCCATATATTTAAATATATGTATTTTATATATAAATATTATAATATGACATAATATATATTATATATAATATTTTATATTATATAAGGCATCAAAAAAATTATATGCATATTGATATTATATGCCATTTAATATAAAATATTATATAGGTAATATTTTATATATAAAAGACTTAGGTTTGACCCAACCCATAATCACCCCAATGAACATCCACTAAAAAGAAAAAGTTTATTTAAGGATCAAAATGCATAAAATTTGAACAACAAAATAGATGTGGGTGTACTGGTGGACTCATGGTGATTACAAGCTAGTAGAACAGTTCCAAGAGGAGCTCTACTTCAGGTTGTGTCCTGAAATCTATGAAAATCTTGATACAAAAATACATCAAATTAGTGCTCCAACATTTGAGGTACTTATGGTCCTAGCTTGTCAAATTTGTATGTTTGTAGAAAATAATTTGTTAGTTAGACATTAGTTTCTTTCACTAAAGGCTTATAGAAAGCTTCCTCATGGGTTGTGTTGCAGGAGATGTGGGCAGTGTTTATTTTGGCCCAAATCATCCGATGAAGCCACATCGTCTTTGTATGACACACCATCTTGTCCTCTCATATGAGCTCCACAAGAAGATGGAAATATATGTTAGTTATTCAGAAACCAATATGTCTTATTTATTTTGAAAATAATTAATAAGCAGTAGTTGCTAGTTGTTTTTATATCTATTAATTTATTTATTTTTTACCAATGAAGCGGCCTCACAAGGCATACCCTGTCGAGCTTGCTCAGTTCCATTCAGAAGATTACATTGAGTTCTTGCACCGGATAACTCCTGAAACTCAACATCTGTTCACCAATGAACTGGAAAAATGTATGTTTAAATCCACCCAGTGTATTTTGTTTTAATTTTTTTTCTCACTTTTATCATTGCTAACACAACATGACATCTAATATATGAAAAATTGCATGGTTCAATTTTAAGAGATTTATGCTGTGTGAATGCGTCTTCTCTCTCTCAAACCCTTCCTCTCTTCTTTGATTGACCCCAAAGAAAGAAAGAAAGAAAGAATAATGACTTCTGTAACTCTCTATTTGGAGATAAATAGTTTTGACCATGTTTGTCCTTTTCTCATAGTTGTCTATATCTATTGATAAAAAAGATAATAGTTTTCCATATCAATCTGTTCATCTTCACAAATGCCTGGTCAGTGCTAATGATTGGGTAGACCATATGCTGAAACCAAATTCTCAATTATTTTTCTATTTATTGCTTTTAAACCTTGTTTTGGCCAACATTTTTAAACTTAAGAATGATTTATTCTTCCCTGACCCTTATACTTTATGCTATATTCTTTTTTATCAGCAAAAAAAGAACAAAAACTTTATTAATACTACATTACTACTTTATGCTATATTATCCCTTCTGCGGCTCTACACATTGATATTAAACTATTTGATTGATGGGGATGCACTATTGTATGATGTGTCAAATTTTTTATTTTGATTGAATATCCACAAAAATGTAGTAAACTTGTTTTTTTTTATGAATGATAATAAATTTATTAATTCAGAAGCAAATTTAGAGTGAATTGATACAACATCCTAGGGAGAGGCGCGAGCTGCAGCCCCTCCTTGAATCTTACAAGTAAACTAGGAAAGAAAAGCAAGAATCACAACTGAGCCCAAAACAATTCTTCCCTATTTACCCCTTGCTTGTCTAACACATCTGACAAAGTAT